TGCATTTTGTTTCTGCGCTGAAACACATGCAGCAGCTCGCGGTATACTGAGCCTAGGGTGACGGGAGGACGCTAGTTTGTGTCCTCCCGTTACCCTAAGGAAAACTATGGGGAAAAGCCCTAACCCCCATAGTTCTCCTTTAATCAGAATTTTACCAGTTCTGCTTTAATGCCTCCTCTGGCATGTTCCGATGTTCTCCTCTTCTCCCTGATGCTGTGGACAATCACTCAGTGTCATCATGTACTATATAGGTCTATTAGTCGTAGACAGAGATTTAGCACCTAGACAAAAACAAGCATTTAACCCTTGCGGTGCGGGTTAAGTGTCTATTTAGGTTTTTTTAAATTTAAAAACAACTACAGTATGTATTCCTGTTACAATGCTGATGTTACAACAGGAAAAGGATATGCTGGGACTTTACAGCTCCTTTAAGTCCAAATTAGAAACATGATGCAAAAAATGGTCTTCATGCGCTGTGCCGAAAACCAGAATGAAGAATGTAAGGGGAGGGGCATAGTCAGGAGATTTCTCTTTGTAATTAAAGTAGGAAAACTATTAGATTTTTCAAATATTAAAACATTTTTCTCTCTTTTTAATTAAACTGGTATTTTCTTAAGCTATTCATATCCTAACTAATAGCTCATGACCCAAGGTGAAGGTTGAGATGTAAACCGATCTGTAAATTGCAAGTCTTGCCAAAAACTCAGCTTTTCCTTCCCTGGCCTGGATGACAGGCGCTGATCCAATTTATTTATGAATCTCGTGCTTCCTCGTGAACAAAATCTCTTCACAGTAGGCATCATTACCCCATGCAACTGGAGGAAGCACTCTGCTCCTTTATAGACCTTCACTTGAGGTGCTGGATTTTCCTTCTCTTCATAATCCTCAGCAACCCACTTAGTCACTATTAATATTTGTGTGATTTAAAGCATTTTGGTTGACTTGTGACAAAAGGAATCCCATCATTTTCTATAGGGCCTATTCACACCTCTGCAACACGCTTCTGTTGCGACTTGGAAAATGGTGCACAGAGTGATGGGGATAGCAGCCGCACTTCACAGAGCACTGCTACCAAAAGTGAATATGGTGGTGCTCTTGGTAAAAACCATGGATGGTGTTGTGTGGATCTACAGGAAAATGGAAGAACGTCACCATACCCCTATCACCCATCCATGGACACTGGGGTCTAAAAGGCCACCACTCCATGTGGTCCAGAAAACCACACTTATCCAGTGTTTAAAAAAAAAGGGGGGGTGCATCACACAGACTTTACTTCGCTGTTCTTTTGGCTTGCCAAACAACTGCAAACATTTCAAAAGCTTTGAGCACAATTTTGCACCAGCGAGGTGATCAGTGGTCCTTACAGATGTCAACCAGAAAGCACTTCTATGTTCCAGAGGTGCCTCTTATGACAGAGTTTATCCAACATGTATGACAAGAATGATAACCAGAACTGACAGCCAGAATGAAGAGTGAAGGGGGTTGGTGCAGGCACACTATGAGGGTCAGCAAGTTCCCATTGCATGGAAAATAAGAAAGCTATTAAGGATTTCCCAATTTTAAAACATTTCTGTATTAAATTAGACTTGTGTTTTTCTTTAAAGAGGATCTTTACCCATATCTTCAAAATCACAGCAAAGGCACCTTTCCAAATGTTTAGGGATGACAATCTACGAACAGATACTTATAGATAATTGCCAGCTTTTTATTATCTGAATACCTTATTTTTTTTCCCTCCCCATTCTTCTCACAGTGGCCATTTTTACTAAGGGTAGGTTACTAGATCTCCCTTTAGTTCCTGGAACTCTAGCACATGTGACTAGGACATGTGAACATGCACATCATCTCAGGGAGGAAAATGCCTTTCCCTGAGATCTCTTGAGATTACAGATGAGATTTCCCAGCAATGCTCTGCTGATGTAACCTTCCCAGGATGCAATGCTTGGACACATTACATAATTTGTGCCAAAGTGGAACAGAAAGTAGAAAAAAAAAGAAATTGCAAGTAAAATAAAAATATGTTTGTTTAACTAACGAATGAAAGATGATTTCATATGCATGCTGATGGGGGTAAAGATTCGCTTTAACCACCTCCTGTCCATGGCCGTTACTGAACAGACGGACAGGAGTCTTGTAGAAGAGGGAGGGCGTCTTAAGACGTCCTGCCCCTCCCCCGTCCCACCCGCACGGCGCTCACATGAGTGGGGAACTGTTAGCAATGTAAACAGCCAGCGATGGCTGTTTACATTCAAGCAATCAGGCGTCTCTAGAGATGCCCGATCGCTTGCAGTAGCTGCCGGTGTGCGAACGCCCCCCCCCTCTTCCCCCGTAGCCACCGCTGCCGGTCCCGAGATCCGCTGTGTGGCTGGGAAAGGCCACGGGGATGCTGTCGGGGACCGAGAAGAGATCAAAGGGAGATCGTGTACTGAGCTCCCTTTGATCTCTTCTCGGTCCCCGAATGAAGGAAGTGATGCATATTACATTGAACAGTGAAATGAGAAGCAGCAGACTAATAAGCTCATATCTGGCATGTTTTGGTTAGCACATGAGCATTGCAGAAGAACGGATTGGCTCCCAGTACAGCTTCTCCCTCTCCCAACCTGCGCTTTCCTGCACAGTAGATGGTAGGAGAGAGAGTCCTATATACACTGCTTGTACTTTAAAAAATACATTTAATGAGGTATTACCAGTATTAATCACAAAGCTGAATTTATTGGTCTTTTATATCTGTCTGGAGTTCAGCTTTAAAGCTATTTATATCGGTTTCTAGACGGTAATATGACTGCACAGATGAAAAGTAAACTCTTGGTATCTGACAGCAACAGAGCACTTCACATATCATCACCGGCAATTAAACAAAAAATCTGTCTTAACAATATTAGTTTACAACTCTCACACTCTGTTCCCATGCAAAGACGATGGATAGCTTGATATTATAAAACAAAGCATTGGCACAAATTAATAAATAAAGTTCCTCTTTTATGGTATAATAATCAGTAATTATATATTGTTTATGAGATTACAATACATCACAAAGCCGTCAAATCGCAGAGAGGTTTATGATGGTACACAAAGGTCGAGATCGCAGGCTGGACAAAATTTGCTTCTCAGAATGTTACTGAGTGAACGAAGTATAAACTTGAGGAATTATATTCCAAACTGTCCATACTGAGGCCATTTTTAAAGCCAAAAATACAATAATGGAGAACATGTACTTTGTCCATACACGCAGGGAAAGCAACAAGTCCCCCTGTACATACTTACCTTGCTTTTATTCCCTTTCGACTATGTTCAGCAACCAGGAGCAAGGAAAGATTGCCTTGTGGAAGCCCCAATAATAGCTTGCACTGGGCTGATTCTCTTCCTGTGCTAAATAATACGCTGCTGGGTATTTTCTTTGCTCCCAGAGGCTGAACAAAGTGGCAGGGCAGTGTAGAAGAGGTTAGTAATGCACTGCAGGGGGACTGAGCTTTAGAGCTGAACTCCGGTCTGAAAAGATAAATACCATTATAGTGGGGGCCCCCGTTACAATACTTACCTTATTCCTTGCTCCTAGAGGTGCCCTCCATCTGTGAAACCAGTCCCCTGAGGGATTGTTCACACCAAGTGTGGCGCAGATGCAGAACAGTTACAGAACGCAGCAAACCTGCACACAATGTATTCCAATGGAATTTTGGGCTCTAGTTCACACCACAGCGTTCAGTTCCAGAGCATGTGGAAAAACTGCAGCATGCCCTATTTTTTCTGCTCTGGAACGCACTAAAACACATGCAAACACCCTGGAACGCACTGAAAGCCCGTTTTAGGTTAAAACATTTTTTTTAAACGGCACGAAACGCGGCAAAACGCACTGCATATGCAGAAACTCATGCAGATCTGGTCCGGATTTGGTGTGAACAAGCCCTGAAGCGTCTTCTCTAATGAGCTCCTGGCCACAGTCACATGCTTTTCTCCTCCACATACAATGCAGGACTGATAGTCCTACATTGTATGTGATGACATTAAGGGATTGTCCACAGTGTCAGGGAGACGAGGATAGTGTGGATTAAAGCAGAACTCCGGTTAAATGTTATTAACCCTCGCACTGGGGCTACCCTTGGGTCAAAAATAAAAAAGCTATACTCAATCCATCCTCCGAGCTGGCTTGCTCACAAACTAGTCCCTGGAGCCTCTTTCCCTCTCTGCTGCAGCAGTCTAAGGTCGCTGAGTCATAACGTTCTATACACAGTGTACAGGACGTGAGGACGTCGAGGGGCATAACATTGCTGCAGCGAAGGACTAGACAGTCTGGAGGGAACGGTGTCACATCTGGCCGGCTCGGAGGATTGGGTGAGTATAACTTTATTTTTGACCCTAGGCAAAAACAAGCACTTAAACTTAACCCCATGGTAGCCCCACTGCACGGGTTGCTACTTTTTTTACCCAGCATTGTTTTTTAAGGGAAGTAAATCAGAATCTTCATTGCCCCCTAGAGTTAACAAGCTCATAATCATTGCAGTGTAAGGTGGTGGTGGTGGGGTTGTAGGGGTGTTCGGCCACTGCAAGGGTATTTTTTTTCCCAGCCAAGCTTCAAAGCTTTGCCGTAAATGGACATAACATGGGTTTGCTTTCTCGTTAATTATGATGTGCATTAGGGGCCACTATACCTCAGCAAACCGATCAATGTATATCTGCAATTAAAAGGGACTACCACTGCTGACCCCCTTCTGAAAATGATAGTTGACTGGCTGTTATACTAACAAACTGGCTTCAATACTTCCTGAATTACTGACTGAGAACAAGTAACAAGTATACAAATCAGGAAAGTCAGAACCTAATTTCAATTTCCAAGTCAGAACCTAATTTCCATTCCAGTTGCTGTTCCCGGTCAGTAACTGCCAGTGCAGAAGAATGGGGGTCACAGGCAACCTGCATGTCCCATGGCAGAGCTCAGAAATGGCTGCCTCCAGGTTTCTCCCATTACAAGTTTCCTTTAAGATAATTAGAAGACATATTCCTACCCTGAGGAGGCATCCAGTGAGAAGGAGGTCACAGGTCGGCTGAAATTACGAAGATCCCAAAGCAGCAACTCTCTCTCTCTGACCTAATGAGACAGATGGAGGAATTAGATCAAATGCTGACACTCACAAAATGACATTATTAATTTTTCAGAGCTTTTTGTTTCCTTAGAGACAGATAAAGTGAGTGTCAAGTTGAGGGTTAAATGTAAAGTGTTAAGGGAGATAAGATCTTGTTTTAGGGGTTAGGTGACCAGTGTTTTGGTAGAGGAGAGGAAAGTGTAGAAGATACTTTATTTGAATTACTATTAAATAATTGGAGAAGAAATATATGGCAAATATGGGCAAGATACCACCGCGAGCTGTATATGTCATGTGACGTCTAGCATTTCCACAGAAAGGAGACCGGAGTGAGATAGTGAGGCCTTGGGGAGCACTCTACCTGGTTAAATCCAGATGTTAATAGATGGTTGTTAGAATTTGTCCACAGTACTCGAGAGTCTTTATTGCTGTCATGGCCCTGGGCATCCTGAAAGAAAGCAAGTCAATGTTAATAGAGGAAAAAAAGCGAAATAAAAATCTATCCCTTTAAAGGGCTGTCCAATGGACATGCAACCAGCAACCCTTTACAGCTTAATGACTGGGAAGCATGAATGCTCAGTGATTAGCACAGTGGCCTAGTATTAATTCCTAAAGGGTACATAATATTTCTGGAGTATGTATGTACATTCTTCCCACGACTGTACGAGTTTCCTCCAAGGGCCCTCTATTCCTATTACAAGACATAAACATACTGGTAGGCTACTCACATTTCAAAAATGGCGCTAGAACATGTCAGGGTGATTGGGGTAAGTACAATAAACCGTAAACTACTATAGAGGAAGGGACTGATGTGACTTTTTAATATCTAACCAATTAATATAAATACAAATATCTTTATAGAATTATGGAGATCAATGATCTTATTATCAACACAGATTCATAAACAGGTCATAGTATGGTGCAAGCAGACACATTAATGCAAAGAGGAACCACATAACCCACACCAGCCTATAAAGAACCTTAAAAATCAGTGGCCAATTCATGCTGTCACCTTAGACCCTATGGGGTATTATCATTCTGTTTTCATTTATTGCAAGCAACACTGCTGCAGCTACACAGCCATAACGTCTTATAAGCCCTCTGGATTCAGTGCAGCAGCCTGCCAGAGAAAGCTACACTATGGCCAAAAGTGTGTGGATATCTGATCATCACCTTTTCTGTTCCAGCAAGATTGTGCCCAATGTGCACAGAACCAGCTCCATAAAGACATGGTTTGATGAATTTGGTATGGAAGAACTTGAATGGGCTGCACAGAGCCCTGACTTCAACCCTAGTGAACACCTTTGGGATGGATTGCATGCCAAGTCTTCTCGCCCAACACAATACCTAACCTCAACCCCAGTGAACACCTTCAAAATGAATTGCATGCAAGGACATCTCGCTCAACACAATACCCAACTCACAAGGCGTCACAAGGGGGGGTGCGGCCCGCACCCGGGTGCCACCATTGGAGGGGTGACACCAAAATGACTGACAGTCATTTTTGCATCACCCTATGAAAAGTCGGGCACTCGGACTCACGGACCGAGAGCACGACAGTGTCAGGAGAGAGGAGGAGACCCAGCGGCATACCTCTAATCCCGCCGGTTGAACGTCCCCTCCTATCTCTGCTGACATCCATCCCTAAGGCCCCATTCACACTGAGCGATTTATCTCGCGGATCGCTCTCCAATGCATCTCAATGGGGCTCTGTCCGTCGCTGTCGCGGGTCGTGCGTCGCTACAGCAGGACCCTTTTTGGAGCGGATTTTGCCGCGATTCTAGGTTGCTCAATGCAACCATTTGCGCGATATCGCGCAAAATGCAAATCGTGCGACAAACGCGCGCTTTGCGAATCACTCAGTGTGAATGGGGCCGTAGATGGCTGCCGGCAGGCGTCAAGACGACCGCGCATGCGCGATGACGTCACGGCGGGGGTGTCACCCAGCCTTCGGACCCGGACACCCCTGCCCCAACTTCAACCCTATTGAACACCTACGAAATGAATTGCATGCCAGGTCTTCTCATCCAACACAATACCTAACTTCAACCCTAGTGAACACCTATGGGATGAGCTGCATGCCAGGTCTTCTCGTCCAACATCAATACCTTACTTCACAAATGCTCTGTGGAAAGCCTTCCTAAAACAATGAGCTCCAGACAAATAAAAAAAGGAACGTGAGGTAACAACGGCATTCCTAAATCACAGAGGCAGAAGTATAAAATTGTATAAAATTGTACAAATGTGTACAATGATGATGAGGAGAAAACTATAGTAAGCACTGCAATCCAAACCACTGTGACACAAAAGTATAACGAGTACTCAGTTATCCAGGGTAATACAAGTCATAAAGGCAAACCAGCAATTCAAAGGATGAAAAGACACAAAAGCAGACCACAAGAGACAAGAACTCCATAATAATTTTCACAGACTGTTCCCAATATAGTGTATGTCAGCTACAGACTGACTAAGTTACCTACTGGCTGCTTATATCTCTTGGGGACAGTGGTGAGATTTTCTCATCAAAATCCTTGGTTTACCTTAGAGTTTTGTGTGTTTTTTGCTTGCCTTGAAGTTTTGGGTATATTTACCCACTTTGGGGTTTTCACACTCCTCATCCTGCATTCACCATAAACAGAATGCACTAAAAAAACCAACAGGGAGGGCTATTCTTAATTTGGACAATGTAGAGACCTTGGAAATGCAAGACCATCACAATAGAGTTCCTAAAAGATATACAAAACCACTCACTGGTCTAACGCTCCCATAAATACTGGAACCCAAAATATCAGTTTGAGTGAGCATGCCCTTCAAATAAAACCTGTAGTGAAAGATGTTACCCGGGGCCTTTACCCCTTTCGCTGTTTAAAGTTGCTAATTGGATCATAAATCTGGAGCGCAGACCTACCATCTACGCAATTGCCATATAGGCCGATAGTTGTGATAAGAGTTGTAGAATGTGTAGTCTCCTGGCTCCTTGAAGGTTTGTACCTATAATATGAGGTTACATTTGCTGTGATTTCATGATTGTTCTGAATACCTGTTGTACTGATGTAATGTGAACCAATATCTTTACATTGTGTGTTACTTGTGAAATTTCAATAAAAACATTGAGACAGAAACCTGTAGTGAAAGGATATGGAGGTTGCCATTACTCACTTCGCCTTCTGAAAATGCTACTTGCCTGTCTGAGGATTTAATACTTTTTGAGTCACTAAGCTAGAACAGCAATCAGAGCATTAGCTTCAGAGTGAAGCCTAAACTCCTAAACTGCATACTTGTTAGGGACTTGGCATGTACTAAAGCCATTGGATCAGCATGACAGCCAGACAGCTAGTTTTTTTTACATGGAGAGGACAGCTATGGCAGTCTCTATATTTCTCCGGTACAGGCCTCCTTTACATTTAGGTCCCATGTTTGATTAAGAGAGCTTTGAAAAACATTACTTCACAATGGCCAACATAATATTTATTTATACAGTGCAGTACAGGAACCTGCTGCCAGCTACTAGTGTGACCTGAACCAGTGCTCAACCAGTCACTTCACTCCAGGCACATTTCAGGCATCTACAAATTGTACTGTCACTCAATGTGACCCCCATGCTGAGCCAACTGTAGGTCGGCCACTTCTGTAATGTGATCCCTACGCACAACTCTCACACACGCCATCTACTTCTGCTGCTGCCGTGTTGTGTGACTGAAGTATACATGACATGCTGCTTTAAGTGTGCCAGGGGGTGATATTAAGCTGGTTATGCCACAGACCCACAGTGAGCTGGCACACGCCAGACCTCTGTATCCAGACACAGCTGAAGCTTGCATGGATTATATTTCAATTTTACCTTCTATACTCTTGAATATTTAACCTATAATCCATGAAGTGTTGTGCGTACATGACATTTTTAAAAAGCAAAGTGAGAAGTATATGTGCCAACACCAAAATATTCATGACATCGTGTTTAGGAGGCAAGAAGAACCTGTAGGCCTTTATCAAGAACTCCAACTATGTAATGACAGAAACCAATCTACCAAAAGCCTGGGAACAGGTCATAAGGTTGGAGCAATTTCAACAAACTGTCTCTGTGTCCATGTCACAATCGTGATGCGTAATCAGACATTTTATGAACAGAAAATGAGAATGCAGCCTATCTACTAAGCAAAACTATGCACAGAAAATCCCACCATGGTCTTAGAGAAGCGTACCTACCAGTTCCTTCTATCAATTACCCAAGAACTGGCTATCATTTTACCAGGTTAAGTATAACCTTTTGCTGAGCCATAAATTCAACCTGCCCATCTACCACCACAGCTACAGGCTACCTATGTCTCTCCTGCTTGCAAAGAATCTATTCTTGCCTACAAGGCTACCCAACCAGTAGGACCATGAGGGTCTACATCAGGTGCTGTTGTCACCTTGGGGAAGGGGACACATGATGAAGTTATAGAAAACATCTAGCCTACCCATATATGAAGACAATTTCATGCATCCTGTGGCCTCCTAGCCTTCAAAAAGCAAAAGTTCTACTACGTCCTGTCACAAAAACACTGTCAGTAACTGGGAATGGTCACATCACTGGAACACAAGGAACCAAATGGCTCCAGTTGTTGAGGAATATAAATCCTGTTATTGTTTAATATAAATTCTAGGGATGTCCCGATACCATTTTTTCCAGACCAAGTACAAGTAGTTTCCCTCAGGTACTTGCCGATACCAATTACTGATACTTTTTCTTAAAAGGGACATGTGATATTTTTTCTAAAACAATACAGACTTATGATTTTAGGGCAGTTTCTTTATAATTATGAAAAACTGTAACTCAATCTATAATTAAACAGCAATGGAGAATGGCAACCAGCAATATAGGACCACAGATCCCATCAATCCATGATTAAACAGCAATTTTACAGGGCTGTGTGTGGTGTCACCAGGGCTACATGCAGATCTCACCAGGGTGGCGGGCAGGTCTCACCAGGGTGGCGTGCAGTTCTCACCAAGGCTGTATGCAGATCTCACCAGGGCTACGTTTGGGTCTCACCAGGGCCGTGTGCAGATCTCACCGGGCCTCTGCAGGTGGGTGGCGGGTTGAGTGGGTGGGTGCCGGGCTGAACAGGTAGGATCCGGGCTCATGCCAGGCTCCGGGGATGTACAGGCAGGTGTGGGGCTGTCCTGTGCAGTGGCGGGAAGAGGCGGCAATGTATAACCGGACCGGCACTGTCAAAGACAGCTGCATGAGGTCCCAAGCAGGCTGTCTGAGGTCCCGAGCAAGCTCGGGACCTCAGTCACCTGAACAAAAATTTAAAGGGCCGGTATCGGCCTTCAGAATTGGGCCATTTTCACAAGTACAACTACTCGTAAAAATGCCCTTTATCGGGCCCGATACCCATACTAGTATCGTTACTGGGACATCCCTAATAAATTCCACAAGATTCTGGAGTGCATCTTTGTGAG